AAAACCGTCGACGCGGATAACAACTCAAAACCGTTGCCTAGGCAATACTCTATTTTATTGTAATCAGGCCTCATTTACATTTTTATCTTCTTGCTTTTTCCACACTTTGTTCACGCTTGTTTTTATTCTCAATTTTTCACACCCCATTCGTATATACATGTATTTTCGCTTGCGCACCACATTTTTCATTTGTTAAAGGCTATAGACTGATAGCCAAAAGCTTATGTTTTTAATATATTTTTAACCAGAGAACATTTTTATTCCAATATGTCTTATCCTGGTTACAGTTCTATTTTTAAAAATAATGTTAATTAATAATACGGAGCTTAGATGAACTAATTCTCTTTGATTTCCCATTTGAATTAAACCTTACACAATAAAACATTTAGAACTCTATATTCTACTAGAAATGTTAATCCTGATAATTCCAAGTTTGATGCATTCTTTAACAACCACTTGTTAACACCCGTTAATGAGGATCTAAGAAATGTGAAGGCTTGCTCACTGAACAGGAGTGCTACCAAGCTTTAAAACACATGGACAATGGTGAAAGCCCGGGCTCTGATGGCTTCACATGCGAATTTTACAAATTCTTCTGGGATTACACTAAACAAAATGTTATTGCAAGCATAAATTATGGCTCTGAAAAATGCCAATTATCAATATGTCAAAGAAGAGGCATCATAACAGTAGTACCAAAAAAAGACAAACCGACTAATCTCCTTGGCAACCTAAGGCCTATCTCACATTTGAACACAGACTACAAAATTGCCACGAAAGCAATTGCAAAAAGACTGGAGGCCGTTCTGCTGCTTGTGATAAATGCTGATCAAATTGGCTATATCAAAGGGCGGTATATCAGTGAAAGCGAAAGACTCATTAGTGATATTACTAGCTACACCGCAGCAAAAAACCTCCCCGGTCTTACTGTCTTCCTCGACTTTGAAAAGGCATTTGATTCTATAGATGGAATTTCCTTTTTAAGGCACTTGACAAACTTAATTTTGGTCCTGACTTCAAAAATTGGGTACAAACTTTCTATTGCAACATAACTAGCTGTGTCACAGACAATGGTTATGCCTCTGATTTTTTCAGTCTGGAGCGAGATGTCAGACAGGGTTCCCCACTATCAGGCATACTCTTCGTCCTTGGTATTGAAAGTCTTGCACTTGTGATTAAGAAAACTCCGAAAATTGAAGGCCTCAGAGTAGGAGCTTGCGAAATAAAAATCACACAGTATGCGGATGGTACAACAGTTTTTCTAAAAAGCCCTGAATCAATGAGTCTTTTGCTTGACCTCCTGGAAAAGTTTGAAAGTCATGCTCAGGATCAAAAATTAACCACACAAAGTCAGAAGCAATGTGGCTGGGAAAATGGAAAAACAGAGAAGATACCCCATTCAATGTTAAGTGGCCAAAAGACTCTGTTTGTGCTTCAGGAATACAATTTTCAAACTCGAGAAAGGTTAGCTATAAACTTAACTTCTATGAAAAATTGGATGTTTTGGAAAAGACCTTTTATTGGAAGAGACAGAAACTAACTCTGTTAGGCAAGGTCAACAATGTTAAATCTGTGGGCCTTTCAAAGCTTATCTGCAATGTATCTGTACTGCCAGTCCCTAAAAACTTCTGTGATCAGGCAAACAAAATCACCTTTAATCTTATCTGGGACAACAAATAGCCAAAATTTAAAAAAAAAACAATTATTGGCGAGTGAAAAAATGGGAGTCTGAATATGATTGATTTTACTTTAATGAACAAAGCCCTAAAGTCCATTTGGATAAAGCGATGTCACCTGAGCGAGAATTTGGCATGGACAGTTATTCCCAATGAAACCACATTACACTTGGGAGGTTTAAACTTCCTCTCAACCTGTAACTGTAACAGCAAGGATCTTAACATCAAAAAGCTACCACTCTTTTATGAGAGAATGTTACAATACTGGTTTGACTTTAAGGATGTGCAGAATAATAAAATGCCACACACAAAGAAAACAATTATATGGAATAACCAAGATATTAAAATTGATAACAAGACAATTGTTTTCCGTACTTGGTTTGATAAAGTAGTTTACACCTTAAGAGATCTTCTCGATCCGAATCTATATTTCTACACTTATGAAGAATTTAACCTTCGGTCAACCATGAAAATCTTACATGGTATCATAGATAACGACCGCCTTTGTAAGTTAACTAATCACCTCTTACTAATTGCAAAATACTATATATACTGTAGTAGCATTAATGAAGAACCTTTATATTTTAGTATTAATCTAACAGTAGTGATAAACAAGGCCGAAATCGAAAAACAAATATCCACAAGGACTAATTCAACTGAATGTTACTACAATAAATGGAAACCTTTAATTGACAGGAAGTTTGTAACTTAGAGCTATATATTATTTTTCTTTGTACTTTGTAGGATATAACACAACTTTTTGCAAGTTATAGTAGTGAATGTAACTGTATTCGTCTTTCCTTTTTGTTGTATTCTAGCGTATTGTAAGTATTATTTGTATGTATTGTAAAGGTAATAAAGATGTTGTTAATAAAAAAAAATTTAAAAAAATAAAGTTAATCAAGTCTTTTGAAGAAAAACAAAAAAACAAACAGTGTTTCACTCATGTCCACTTCATGCTTGCCCGTCGGGTAACCCGAATGATTGTTTCACCAGTCCTGGGCTATCGGACAGCCTTTTCGTTGCACCCTGAATTAGATTAGTGATGACACCATACTGCTTGCAACTGAAAAGTGGTAAATTACTGAATAAACAATATCCCTACAAATATTAAAGCAGTGTTCTTGAAACTTGGCACCACAAATGTGCATCACAAAAGAAACAAAATGACACCTTTGGGGCTGTTGCCATGACAACAGTTTTGCCGCTGGTGCTGTCTTAATAAAAACTGAAATTCCCAATTTTTGTCTTAAACCAAGAACCATCTACCCCACCCAATCTAATGATGGGAGATAAGACAACATGGAAGCTATGTCTGTTCCAAGTAGGACCCTTTGTCTCACTTTAGAGGTTGCAAATGGAGATATTTGGTTTTTTGACAGAAAGAGACTGGAGCCGAAAGAGTTGCTATGGCAACAGCACTAAGGATGTCATTTTGTTTTTGCTTTTTTGTGATGCACATTTGTGTTGCCAAGTTTCAAGAACACTGCTTCAATATTTCCAGAGATATCGTTTATTCAATATTTTCCACTTTAAGTTGCAAACAATATGACGTCATCACTGATCTAATTTGTTTGTTTTGTCTCCTAAAGACTATTTCTCTCAACGAATTTATGATATCTGGATCTGTGTGTTGACATTTTGATATCTTGGCAAGTTTGCCAAGAAAACTTCCAGTTTCTTGGTGAGTATTTTTGGTCTTCGAGATGAGAATCTCGGCAAGAATCTCAGCGAGATTTCAAGATCTCAGTGAGATCTTACTTGAAATCTCGCCAAGATTCACGGAGAGTTTTGAGATCTTGGGGCGATCTCGCCAGCCAAAAACTCACAGAGATTCTTGACGAGATCTTGGTCAAATTTTGCAGGGGTACTTTTACAAACTCTCAGATGACTATAACAATTATATTATTATTATTATTATTATTATTATTATTATTATTATTATTATTATTATTATTATTATTACAAAATATTAGGCAGCACAATGCCAGCATATTATCTTACCTATTGATGCCACTTGTGACACCTCATGATCAGACACCCTCCTTGATTCAAGACTTCCCTTTAATAAGAAAAAAATCAAAATAATTAGGAACTCCTCACAAGTTAGAGTTTTCACAAAAGAAGCTTCAATGTAAATGTGAGCTGGTGGGGACTTACATGTATACAAGGAGGGGGAAGAGTAACCTTAAAACTGAGATTAGTTTTTACAAATTACTCATTACTTACAATAATAAAATTTTAGAATAAAAACATAACAAACAGGATAATTTTTTTTTTTTAAGAAATGCACTCAGGGTCTTTATCGGATAAAATTGCTGCTACTGCATGTAATAGGCCTTAATTCCAAATTAACTTGAACCATTGTGCCAAAACAAGTTTTCGAGCGAACCCTTTCGTATGAAAATGAGTTTGATTGATAAAACACAACGGGCATTTGATCTGAGAACACAAGGGAAATGTCTACATTTCTCGAGTGTTCTCAAATGTCTGGAGTGTTTTATCACAGTGTAATACATGCCTTAAGCTTCTTCATTTGCTTTATGATATAGAGATAATGTGGCAAAAAACAATAAAACACACTTTTTCTATGTTTTATACTCTAATAAACATGGGTTTTCGAACAATCAGAGTGCACACAGGGTCCTATCTTTACTATTTAAATGAAAATGAACCTGTAAAGGGAGCACATTTTCAAATGAATGGTTTTGCATGAAGACTCATTTTGACACACAGGAAAAAGGCAACTCACAAATGGCCTATTCCGTTCACTTTTACATGTACATGTAGGCCCTCCAACATCTAAATGTAGATATCAGTTAAAATGTTTCCACCGGCTGAATTTCAATTTGTTACTGTTGATAACTCTTTGACTAAAATCATCCAGTAAGAGATATTTAGATATTGAGTACTGTTGATATAGTTATTATAAGTTAATTTTTCATGGAAAGATTCTTTTGTATGGGTGTTGTTTGCCCTTCCTAAATACATTGAACTTGAAACTACTAGCTCTTTGGAAATAAAAAAAAAAAACAATGATTATTATAACAAAATGACACATATCCTTTAAGTGTACATTTACATGTATATAAAATTTCTCCTAATTAAGTTTATACAAAATTTTGCTATGATTCTTAGTGTTACTAGACATAATGACAGTTAAATAGTGCCAAAATAACTGAAAACATGTAGCTCTATATATATCTACACACAAAAGCTAGGTAGTCATACGATTTTGGACTCTGGGCCCAGAGCTATGTACTAGGTATCATCAACAAAATTAAATGTCCCTTGGGTCTACAACCGAGCCACTTGATAGGGTGCTTGGAAAAAGAGCCTAAGTGACATCTAATAGACTGCTCCTAGCAAGTTGCTTTTTGCTTCCTTAGATATGAAAAGAGGAGAACTTGACATGAGATCAAGAGTCACTAAGGGCTTTTTTCTATGCAATCCTCCTCTTATCCTTTAATAATAACTGTACTGTGCTATAAATTATTAATAGACCTAAGAGTGATTTTTATTTGAGTGTCAAAAAATAATATGTTTTGCTTCATCGCCCTACATGATTGTTCAATCAGATCGAGGTAAAAATTCAATCAAAACCGATTGCAACATTCACAAGCACATGTTTTCCTGCATTTTGCATCAGCTGGCTGCATGTAATTACTTCAAGTTTTGATTGGTTCACTATATATATTGTCTGTGTCCTTTGTGATTGGCCAGTAAAAGCTGGTTTTCACACAGGCTTCCCAAGCTCAAAATACATGGTGTATGCGACAGCTTGTGTATATAGAGAATTGTATGGGAAAATCACCGATCAATCTATATTTATACACAAGCTGTCACATACATCACATATTTTGAGCTTGGGAAGCCTGTGGTTTTCACTATCTAATTCATAAGCATAAGCATAAGGAGACACACGCAGAAGTAGTAAGAGGTTCTTGATAACTAGCATCTTTTATATGAAAACTTTCAACAAAAGGTGTTACTTACTTTTATAGCACCTTACTGCATTTGCATATGTTGCTAATAGTTACATGTATGCTTGACTACTTGTGAAAACTTTCAATTGGTTTTGCTTTTACAACAACCAATTGAAAACTGCCTTTCAATCATTTTATCATTAAGAATAAGAAAATATGAATTCAGAGCAGGTTCTGAAGGAGGAATTCATCAACCAAGTGATAGTGCTTCCTTACCCACGGCTTAATCCAAAAATTTATTAAGTAATGATTTTACCACGTGTTAACAGAATTAACAACTTAAATATGATTGCAGAAATAACGTTTACAGACCTCAGCAAGCACGTACAGAGCTGAATTGCCTCTGATGCATTTTTTAATGAGAGCTCCATTCCATATTCTTCTATCACCATGAAAGTCTAGCTTTGTCCGATATTTGTCAAGAGCTGAAGCACAGCTAAGTCTGAATATTTAAAAGAAGAGAATTCATAGTTAGGTTGATTTAATTTGTTCATTCAAGTGACAGCAAAAAAATTCATATTTATAAGTGAAATTGTTGTTAATTTAACTGCATGCTAGTAAATTTATTATATAAAGACATGTCAGTCCAACTCCTAATTTAATTTAATGCTAGACAGTTTAAATTAGGATCTCACTACATTATAATTACACGTACAGTATTGCCTTAATGTCTTCTTTCAGCCATTCATTTGTATAATGTAGTTTGAAAAAGGAAGAACTTTATAATTTTAAATATTCACCCATTGACTCCTAGGGCTTCTTGCCAAAAATGCATTTTTCGGACATATTGGAGATTTTCAGGCTGGATATGAGCTAAATTAGATCCAATCTACTCAAAAAGGCATTTGGAACATGACAGAAGCCTTTCTTCCATTAGCATGACGTTTTATGACATTTTAGCTCAGGCATGCACAGAAATCAAAATTTAGAGAATTTTGCTCTGTCAGTTTTTCACTCAAATTTCTGAGCATTTTCGTGCATACTTCAGGCTCCATAATTTGAGCCGATCACTCTGATCTGGGTATCATTGGAAAGATCTTTTCCTCCTGCAGAAGTTGAGTATAGATTATGCCAATTTTGGTCAAAGATGATGACGTCAGAAGTGGAACAAAGGCCAAGACTTGTGACGGCCGGTTACAGGGGGCACGGGAGTCAATGGGTTAATGAATAAAATGGCACAGGCATATTTGCTAATAATGAAAACATTTAGTTACCTTCTTTTGGTTCTTAAAATTGGGAAATTTAAATAAAGTGCACTAAGAACATCCTCTTTGTTCATCTCTGATGTAAAGGCCATTTTGCTGTACTGTTTACCATCCCTGTTTTTTTTTAATGCTGCCATTTCAATAGTATTCGGCATGAGCACTTGACCATTCTCAGTGACAGTGACATCACTATCCAAAAAAACCACAACACTCTTGGTAGGTTTTGGAGCATTTGGGTCTCTCCTACACCTTTTAGCATTTGGCTCTTCACAGCTTGATGCATCACTCTCTACACTCCCAGCATGTTCCATTACCTGCTACATGAAGAAATAAAAATGGATTTAGCTACTCTGGTTTTCCTGTCAACTTCAAATTTAGCTTTATAAGCTATTGGTAGTCCAAATCTCCAGAGAGCCTTGGCAGAGCCTTTTTGCTGTTTTTCGTTAACAAAACTGCTTGGGTTAAAACATTGAGACACAAGTTTATTATACAGACTGCAATTGGATTCCAGGGTTTATTGGATAAATTAAAATCATTTTCTAAAATCACCTTCCACGTTTTAAAAGGTTTATTAAATAGTCCAATATTGAAATACGGAAAGACTAGTTAGAACTACATGCTTTGGTGGTGAACAAGATGAAGCAATTATATATTATGATGTTTTAACATTACATCTTTAGTTAGTGATGGTAAAATATGTTTCAGCCAAAATTGAAAAGAAAGACCTACCCTGGGTAAATTGCTGAACAATACCTTCGTTTATTTAAGTGGATATGGGTCACCTTGTATATGGCTGGCGTGACTGAAATTTGAATTGACCAATCTGGATTCAGTAAGTGGGAAAAGCTTGACTGTCCTGACATCGAGTTATGTTAAACTGGAAAGGCATTGAAATCGGGCAACATTTCTCGCTAGAGATGGCATTAAAAATTCACGAAAAGGAATTTACAATTCCAAAACCCATATCAGATGGCAAAAAGGAAAAAAATATGAAGCATTTGGTGTCTCCAAGCTTCTAATTTGGCTCCAAAAAATTGGTCACTGGCAACTTGCTCGTAGTTCGTTGAGTGTTGCCAGGTAAGACATAAGTTGTGTTATTCTAAACAAAATATGCTGTTCCTTGTTGCCATATGCAAGACACCAGTTAAACAAACTCTTAATGCATACCCTAACATCCCCCCACAACTTCCCACCACCACCAACCCCCATTGTGGCAGAGAATGGACATAAAATTTGAATTTAAGCTTAAGCAAAACACTAAAATTGAAAGTTCAAAAGCACACCACCAAAGATTTCAAAGATACGGATTGTCGCTGTCTTGAAACCTCTTGTACCAAATAACCTAAGTCTTAAGCTTAAGCTCATACTAATTTCATATGGCAGCGCAAAACGTCATCTTTCGTCCTACCTCGAGCAAGAACGAGAGACCGAGACATCCGAGATTATAAGAATTTTCTGCATGACACTACGCCAAGTTGTATATTAAATAATGTAAGCCTTATACTTGACGAAAATTACCATTAATTGCTTGGGATATAAGCTTAAGGTTAAGATTCAAACCTTCAGTAGCTAGACTGTAGCTAGGCGAAAGCAAGTGCTCTGTAGTTTGGCAGATTTTGGTTGTCAGCTAAGACTAAGCTTATATGCGTTTTACGGTTTACCTTTGCTGCGAAATTAAAAGCGCCACAGAGAGAGCGAACAGAAGTAGACGTTACAAATTACATTATTCTTACATCCTTGCTGTGCTCAAGCTCTAAGTGACCTCCAACAGAACATTTCCCACGCTGTTTTCGTTGAAGATATCTGGAGCTACCGCCTTCATTTGAGAACAACCCAATGTGAAGTTTTCCTCTAGAGCGGATAGCCACAGTTGGCAGACTAACTCTATGTTTTCACAAGGAAAAACACTACGCAGTTCGAGGTGGAAGTTACTTCAGCTTAACTGAATTTACCAAAGAAGAAAACTGTACTTCCTAGTGGCTCAGCATCAACGGAGCTCAATTTATCCTTATTTGGTGCGAATAGCGCGCGCGCGCATAGGCGGAAGTTATCCAACCTTGTCGTGATTGATACAACCTTTTCGTGACCTGTGTTCATTTGTCATGTGATCGTGCAGAAAATAGAGCTCGCAAAAATGCAAATTGCAACGTGGTCTTTCGAGACTATACACACTAAATTACAAATAAACTTGAAAGGGTCAATTCAAAGTATTGCTTTCCAGTACTTTCCACAAAGGTATTCCTATAAAGTTCAAACAGTCCAATCTATGATTAATGGAAGAATAGAGCGCAACAAAAACAATTTACAGCAGGGTCGGCCAAAACATTTTGCCATTGAAATCTTTCCCCGGATGAAATAATAACATAAAGCCCCCTTTTGATGTCCGTAGTCTACAGATTAACAAACTATTAATTTCACGTGGCTTAGTGTCTGTCGCAAACTTGTAAATTGTTTTGACTTTTCTTCTCCTTAAGTTAATCTAGATCGTAATGGACTCAATCGAGATCAGACATTTGCCGTTTGTCGTATGACGGGCAGATTACTCCCAATTTATGTTAAAATTGAAGCCCAACAGTGACAAAGAAATGAAACTAAGCGATCGAGTGGAGTGGCCTGGTATTACAGACACTAGACAAGTAACTTACTGTTTTGGTGAGGTGTAGACACACACTTCAAGCCAGCTCCTAAATTTAAACAGCTGCTAAATGAACGAAATACATATACCGTACGTATTTATAGTGCGAAGAGCTGCGTGCGCTGAACACAGGTTTAAGTGCTATTGTTTACTGATACAACCTTTCGTGACCCGTGTTCATTTTGCTACGTGATCGCGCAGAAACGTAAAAAAACAAAAAGCTCTCACAAACGCTCGCTGTCTAGCCAAAATGCAAATTGCAATGAAGTCGTAATAAACTTTCAACGCCAAAAAGTTAACCCCCACACCACCCTCAATGTAACAACAATAACAGCACACACTTTATTTAAGACCAAAATAGAAAAACTCTCAGTTACAAAAAAGGTAAATGTAACAGAAAATTAGGTCAATTTATCCAGAATAACTTAGTGAAATTAAATAGTACTTTTATAAAGAAGTTGGTTGGCTGTAGAACTTAAAGGAGGAGGGAGGGGCGGGGGCAGAATACCAAAATAGAAAAACTCTGAATCACAAAAAAGGTAATTGAAACAGAAAATTAGATTAATTCATCCAGAATAACTTAGTGAAATTAAATAGTTATATAAAGAAGTTGGTTGGCTGTAAAACTTAAAGGGGGGCAGTAAGGAGACAAAATGAGGGGAAAAAGAAAAAAAAACAATCACTAAAATAAATCATTCAATAAATCACTAAATACCTAGGAATAAACTAAATTTAGTAGAAATAAATGTCACCAGTAAGTACCAGATGAAACTCATGAATGTTGGCAATATGATTGTAAGGTGTTGAATACATCAAGGAAGAAAGAAAGGGCCCAGCTTCAATGTGACCCTCTCTATCAAACAAGAAATAGCCTTTATCTCTTTTAGCCTTCCACCTCATTTGAGCACCTATGGATCCTTTGCTACAAGTTTGCTCAGTCAGTGAGAAGTAGTGGCGGGATGCAGGATTTAAAAAACCTATTAGACCCTCCAGCTAGGGAGACAGTAAACCAAACTGATGCACTGCTTCTTTGGATACGTGTAGTAAAAAAAATGTAAATCTTATTTATAGTGGTCATGCACTTTGCCATACAAGCACTAAGCTTAGCTAGTTTACAGGCATGCCACTCAAACAAAGGAAGCAAATATTGCAAATAAACGTAACATTTGTGTAGATTCTTTTGTTAGTCATTTGTTCATCATCACCATCGGTACTTTTCCAACCATGCAACTTGATAATTAGGACAAGCTCAAACATTTCAGGTTTGAATAAACACTTTGAAATGTAACCAGTATTTAACTGCAACTAAGGGTACTAATCTGTAAACTATTGTGCATGTTCATGTTTGTGCACATCACAATTTATTTCAGTTACATTACTGGTACTGTACTCAAGTTTTGAGTGAACAATCAGCATTCGCTCTCACACAAATA